AAGAAACCAGCTCTGGCCCAGCTACACACCAAGACAGGCACTATTTCTGCATACCCTGTGTGCAGGGACAGAAACCGCCTGGCCTTTGGCACCCTTTGGAGTCTACCAAGAAGGCAGATTTGAATTCTGTGTGCAGGAATGGCCCCTCTAATGCTGCTCCTCCCACCCCAGTCCTCTGATACTCACATTGTCATAACAACTGCTTGGGGAAGGGCTTGCTGAGACACTGGCATTACCTTTCCTGGTTTTTTCAAGTGTTAAAACGAAACTGAAGTGGCACAAAATGCAAAGTGCCACAGCTCTCCTTTCCCATGGACCTCATTTTGGAAGCTTAAAGCTCAACTCAGAGACCTCAGGAGAAAATCCTTAGCAGCAGATCCTCTAGGATGGAAGGAGAACATGTTGTGTGCATGCGCTCTTCCCATGCGATTGTCCTCATGTTGCTAGCCGAGCATCAGTGGGGCACAACATATATCTGGGGTATCACTACTTCTCCTGATCCTTTATCCTACCAAAACAGATAGTGCCCCTTGGCTGGAGGATTTCACCAGATCTCCTCAAGATAAAGCTCAACCGTCACAGCGGCAATTTGCTGAAGTATCTGCTGGTGTGCAGTTGCAGTCGGAAACATTTGAGCTTCCAGAATATCAACGAAACAGGATGGTGGAATAGCACAGATAACCTCATGGTGTACAATTTAGCTAAAAATCATTTGGGCAGCCTCATTCAGATAGCGTGTGATGTGCCGATCGCCCCATCTGTGTGGAGGTGGCAGATATAGTATAGTAGAAGCACTGAGTCTTAAAAGAGAGCAAGGAAGTTATACAAGGTCTTGGTAATGGCTAGTGAAAATGGGAAAGGTTTGTTCCTTGGGAAGACACCATATCAGAGGAGACTGAATTAAAAGCCACCAAATGTTTTAGCAGCAGATCTCCTGCTTCTTCATGCACAACCAAGGCATTGAAAGACAGAAGAGTTGGAGATGATTAAAAGAAAAAATGTTTTGTGCAGTATGACGGGGCTGTGGGACCCACTACCATGGGATGATGATGTTGGTGAAGCCAGGAGACCCTACACAAGTGGGTATCAGGGCTACCAAGTTAATATTTATGATTCAAGCAGAAGTTCGGCAGTGCCATGTAGCACAGATGGACCACAAGCACCACTGAGCAGACTCAGGCAGTAAAATAATGCTAATTTTCTATTTTATTTTATTTTTTTGGCTAGGTTGCAGCAACAGTGGGACAGTCTGCTAGTGACCTGAAACATCCAGTGTCCAGTCCAACCATAGAGACTGGTCAGCAAGCCAATAAGTTAGAGGAGCTTAGGAAAGAGATGCCTGTCTGCCAGGAGACCAGAGGGGCTGGGAAAAGGACAAATCCTCGACTGAGGCCTCAGGAGCCACCAAAGCCACCAGCGCCTTCTCCAGACCACATGCAGTCCAGCAAGGAGCACCCTCCTTCTAGGAAGCAGGCAGAAGGACATTCATGTGCTCTCGAGGCCAGAGAGACCCAACAAGGACTGTTAAATCAACAGGACAAAATCCAAGATGAGGAAGAACCATTGCTGAAGAAATTGAGTCCTCCAGACCCCGGAGGAAACACTCCTCTTGAGCAAATCACACATCAGACAGCAGTCAAGGATGGGAAGAGCAAAGAGGCAGGAGTAGAGCTGTCCAGTAGCCATCCCAGTGCAGAAGCAGGAGGGAGCAGTCCAGCAGAGCCATCTCCTGGGGCTGCACACAGGGAGGCAGGAGGGACACTTTTGAGACATCAGGAGGCAGAAATGCCAACTCCTGCTTCAGTTCAACTTGCCAAGGAAGAGCTGCTTCCTGCTTCTGCAGCAGGGACATCCGTGGCTCAGGAGGCATTGCTTGCAGCTCACAGCACCCCAGGGATAGAGGCCACAGCAGGAGAGGTCCTGTCTGGAGCCCAGATGCTGCCTCCTGCAAGAAGAGAAACAGAAATCAAAAAGGCAGATGGCTCTGCCCCACAACAGTATTTTTCAGCCAGCACATTAGGGAAGGAGAGTACCAAACCAGGACCTGTGGGACCTCAGGGGAAGGAAGGAGGAGAGCAAACAGCCACAGCTCCACACCAGGAACCAGCAGCACCTTCAGGCACTTTTGAAGGAGGTACTGAGGTTCAGCCACAAGTACCGCTGGTCCTGCCTAGCGCTGAGAGACCTCAAGAGATGTCTTTGGAGGAGAAGATGCAGCACAAAAACCTTGTTTCCTCCTTGAAGAACTATCTGCTTCTGCTTTTAAAACTGTCAGATAGCAGTAAGGATTCCATGAAAGAAGAGACTGGCCCCCGGGACAATGAGCAGCCCAATGCAGAGGAACTCATGCTCCCAGAGATAGGCATTGCAGGCCTGAGCCCCCGCACCTCAAGGAGAGTTTTGGAAAAGGTACAAAACAATCAGCTCTTCCAGACAGCAGAGAACTTGCCTCTGACCCCCAGGACGTCCAGGCGGATCACAGGCATGATTAATGAGGAATTCCTTACCAGCAAGGAGTTGCTGGATTGCAGGCCTGTGCCACCAAGGAGACGTACCCATGTTGCTCCCGAGGTGGAGGGGCCACCCCAGCTCTCTGTGCCCTCCATCGTGGTGGGCAGCATGCAGGCAGCAGGAGCAGGGCAGCCTCCTTCTAATATTTATGATTTGTCTCCAGCCAGCCCTGAAAAAGAAAGCCCTGGTGACCCTCTAGCAGTGCTACCTTGTGCCACGCCAGAGGAGCTTGCTTCCGGGGCTCGACGCAAAATATACCTGCCAAAAACCAAGCAGATGGGGGAGGAAGAGGAGGCAACTTCAGAGCACCCAGGGCACCTGAGAAGTCCTACCGTTTCACCACAGCAATCCAGGAAAAACACAGGCCTGTTGCAGTCATCTGCCCTGGCTCCGTCCCCTCCTGCAGAGCAGCGCTCGCCAACCCTCATGAGGAAGATGGCCACGTTGGAGGTTCCTAAGCTGTATGAGGAGGCCACAAGTGACAGCAGTGGTGACCATGAGGTCCCTGAAGATGCTAAGCCCGAAGTACAGCTAGCAGAGTCCAAGAGAGCAAATGACCCATTTAAAGGTAAGGGAAGGGGTAATCCCCCATGAGACATGTTTCCTTGTTGCCTACGAAGGGAGCCTGGCCAACTGAGCTGGTGATAGTCAGCTGGGGCCATGTGAGTTTTGTGCATTTGCAGGGTTTTCAGCTGTGTGAAAGCCAGAAGTCTGCCTCAAGACTTCTTCCCTAGCTCAGGGAGGGCAGAGGAACACAAGAGACAGCAGCACTGCAACTGGTTGTCTTCACAGCCTGGACTTCCCTGCCAAAGGAATCGTATAGTCTTCTTGTTCCATGTCTTCATGTCCTGGTCCTCACCATGCCTTATGCTGGTTGAGGGTCCAATGGGCACCAGCAGGGTGCACAGTCCTTTTCCATGGTCAGTGCTAATTTCATCCCTCATGACATCAAATTAGAAAAGGTATAATCTTGGTGTTGGAGTGCTTGTGGGAGCCAGGTGATACCCTCCCGGAAATCAACACTCTTGCGAAAGTGAGGGTAGCCTTGATAAATCCCTACTTCAGTAGATAAATGTTTCCTCCAACATGTTTTTCTGCATTGCCTCTGGCCAAGCCCCACTAGGTATTGCAGTGTTCAGCCAATTCATACCACTTGTATCCCACCATATTTATCCATGTGGAGCTCTGAGACCTTCCCTGGGAAGGGAAGGTGATGTTATACCAGGCTATGCTGACATATATGTGATACCCAACACCAAAGTCCTAAGCAGCAGCTTTGGGGTAGGTTGGCTTGTCTCCAGAGCTGCAGCCAGCACTGTGTCTCACCATCCATCTCGTTGCACCCTGTCCTTAGCTCCACAGGTGATTCGTAAGATCAGGGCTGAACAATTTTCTGATGCATCAGGAAACCTGAAACTTTGGTGCCAGTTCTTCAATATTTTGAGTGATTCTAAGCTGATGTGGTACAAGGACGAGATCCCTGTAGCAGAAGCCCAAAGGAGGTAACTTGCCAGCTCCGCTTTGTCATAGTTCTTGTGTCAGTGGGTGGTGAGTCCTGGGTTCGTGTGTTAGATCCATCTTCTTGGGTTTACTGGGGTGAAGGTGTCCCTTCTGTTAAGGCTGCATGGGAAGCTCATTGCATGGCATGGTACATTATGAACTTTATCTTCTCAGTGCCCGAGGAGGGAGGGATCACCCAGACAGGGAATTGCTGACAAATTTGTCCTATTGATGCTCCATCTAGAGCCTGGCTTAAGGGCTGATGCTTTGAGTAGCAGAGCCCTGAGGAGGGCAGGGGCTGAACCTGAACCTTGGAGTGGGCAAAGAAGATGCTGTGCCCATCTCAGAGTTTGAGAGCTGGGTGTGAGCTCCAAAACTTGACCTTGAGTGATACATGTGAGTGTGGCAGCTGTGCTGGGAGGGTCTACATACTGCACCCCAGCAGATGCTTCCATGCAGCTACCACTGGCAAGAACCAACAGGGAGAAAGCAGCTCTGGCTATGCCCTCTCCATCCCTTGGCACTGCCCTTGCACAGGGAGAGCATGGTCGGAGAGCTGGGTGGCTTGTGGAGTCCTGGATGCTCCTTTTGGTGCATTATAGAGAGCAGCTTGTTCTCAAGCCCAAGGAAGCTTGTGTGGAAACATCATCCACATTGGATAGGATTTGCCTGATACCTTTCAGTGTCCCTTGAGCTCCCTTTATAATGAGCAGGCAGAAAGAGGTGGTTCTGGGGCAGAAACGATCTCCTGTGGCAGATATTTGAGCTGGGGTAGATGGACCAGCAGTGGCCATTGCCTTTTAGCTGATCAGAGCAGAGCCTGCTCATCCAGCAGTTCTCAGGATGAGGGTCCCACCTCTTCCCTCGGCAGCCTCTCACCCTCTTGCTGGTTCACGCTGGCCATGTGGGGCAGAAACAGGCCTTTGGTTCTTGTGGAGACCTGTCTGCCCTTGTGTGTTGCCACCTTGGCTAGAGGAACTGCTAGCCCAAAGCTTGGTGCTGCAGGCTGAAGAGGGTGGCAGCCCGCTGATACAGAGCTGGTGCTTTGCTGGTCCCTCGGAGAGGGGCAGGCTGCAGGATAGGGAGTGATGTCTTCCCTCACTCGTGAACAGCTGAAAATGAAGCTGGACACCTCTGTGGCTGTTTGTCTTCTAGCCACCCCACCCAGATGCAGGTTTGTTAGCCCAAGCACAGCCCTGACCCAGCCACACTCAGAGGCAAGTACCTTTATCGGTCTGTAGCCCAGTCGTGGCCAGATTTTGCAGGGCTTGCCTGGAACACAGGCATCTCTGTGAGTACAAACTGCAGAGCAGGACGCCTGGTGCCATGAGGTGCTGGGATGCCCTCAGTCTGGCTTCCTTTCCCGCCCTCTTCCATCCCTCCAAGGGCAGCACAGTGTCCGTGATGGGGCTCCTGGGCATCCTTACAATCACATGGGGCTGAGGCCATGCTGTGGTTTCTTTCAGTGCTGGTGACGAGGGCCAGGCAGCCTTGGCTGTTGTGCAGGCATCCCAGAAGGACTGTGGGGTCTACCGGTGCATGATCAGCAACGAGTATGGCACTGACTCCACAGATTTCCTGCTCAGCCCAGAAGGTGAGGTTCCCTCAGCAGCCTGGCAGCTCTCCCAGCTGCCCAGGTGTGCCATGGGGTGGTGTGGCAAACTGTGGAGAGGGCTTGATGCCGGGCTGTGGAGAGGGAGCCTTGCACACCCCATAACACCACCCCTGCAAGGTGCATCTGCCTCCATGTGCTAATTTACAAGTGATTCACACCATCCTTCTTGCCATCCCTTGGTGTGGAAGTGCATGGGGCAGGGTGGGATCCTGGCAGGACCTTGACATGTCTTTGATTTTTGTTTCCTCTAGTGCTGTCTGGATTTATCTTGCGGGAAGAGATCGAAGGTAAGGGCCACGTGCTGATGAGCTGCAACTGCTGCCCCATGCTGTGTGGGGGGCAGGCAGCTCTGTGGTGGGGGTAGGACATGCCCACGTTGTCCCCCCTCACTAGCTCTTCCCACTGCCAGTTGGAGAGGAGATCGAGATGACGCCCATGGTGTTCGCAAAAGGTTTGGCTGATGCAGGCTACTGGGGGGATAAGCTCTTTGGGCGCGTGGTGAGCGAGGACGTGGAAGTGGGTGCTGGTTTCCTGCGCAAAGCCTGCCGTGCCAGAGCCATCTATGGTCTGGAGCCTGTCTTTGAGTCCGGCCACACCTGCGTCATCAAAGTACACAATTACATTGCCTTTGGGACCAAGAATGAGAACAGCCTCGTTGAGAAGAACTACGATATCACCATACAGGTGGGCATCCTTGTGGGGCACCCTCTGTCTGTCTCCTCCACACCTTCCCCATCTGTCTATGCCATGATCTCCAGCTCTATGCCAACTTTCTTTATTTTCCTTCCGCTTTTTGAATGCTCTGGAGGAGTCGAGCCATGTTCCATCAGGCTGGCGATGTCCTTGTTATTCTTGGCTTCAGCTCTTTGAGCAACACAGAGCTTCTAGGAGCTTTCCTGTCACTTGTCCTTTGACCAACTGGCAGTGGTCCCAGGGGTTGCCTGGCCAGGTGGGGGGTCCCACGGAGGCATTGGTGCAAGACAGGACAGGTCCTTGACTCTTCTGTTTGCATCTCCAGGAATGTAAAATCCAGAACTCCAGCCGTGAGTACTGCAAGATCTTTGCTGCTGAGGCACGAGCTGTCCCTGATTTTGGAGCGGTGCCTGAGTAAGTAAGGAGCTGCAGCTCTGCTGGCTTGACATCCTAGGGGATGGTGGAAGGATTCCCCATGGGTTCTGGGGACATCCCAAAGGGCAGCGCGCTCTTCTCCCACCCTCAAAGGGAAGGGATTTGCAGACCATGGTGTAAATCTCCATTTGCTGTGGTGGGAGAGCTCCCTAGCTGGTGCTTGACCCTGTCTATGTGCTCCCGTGCAGGATAATTCCTCTGTACCTGATTTACCGACCATCCAACAACATCCCTTACGCCACAATGGAGGAGGACCTGGGTGGGCCCTGTGAGCAGTACTGTGTCACTGAGAGAGATGGCAGCTTGGTGGCACGAGGCACGTCAGAGATCGTGCTCAAATGCTGCACCTTCCAGCATTGGGTCTACCAGTGGACAAATGGAAACATCCTCGTGACTGACATGGAAGGTAAAGGGATCTCCCAACTGATTCCCATGGCCCCTCACCACCCTCTGGCCTGTGAAAGGAGGAGGAAAAGCCCCAGCCTTGCCCTTCTGCCTCTTTCCCCATGTGCCACAGAGCCCAGCTCCCAGGGCAATGACCTGCCCTTGGTGCCGATGGCCATCCTCCTCTGGGCAGAGACTAGTTATCCTTCCTTCCGTTGCAGGAGTGGGCTGGAAGATGACCAACGTGCGGATTGCTACCAACCTGAAAGGGTGAGTGACCCCAGGCTGCTGGCACGGGATGGCCCGGGGTGGCCCCAGCTGTCCCCAGTTCCGCTGCTCACGTGGCAAAGGGTGGTGGTGAGCGTGGCTGGGCTCTGTCCTCGGCTCCCTGCTCTGGTGGGATGTCTCCTGGTGCAAAGCAGGGGCTGAGGATGGTTGTGTTGGCAGGTACCAGGGGCTGAAGGAAAGCTGCTTCCCCTCCTTGCTGGAGCAGTTCACGGCCGCTCACCAGTGTAACCATTACTGCAGCATCCTGGGCCTGAAGATGCTGGAGCCAGCCAAGCCCAAGGGCTCCAAAAGCCCCTCCATGGGTAGGAAATCTGCCCAGTCGAGCCCCCAGCTCCAGAAGAAGGGGCTGGTGAGTCCCCAGGGTACCCGCAAAGCTGCCGTGAGCCCCAAGAGCTCCCGGAGAGCTGGAGACACAGGGGAGGTCCCAGCAGCCTCCAAACCTGCGTCAGGAGAGAGCGGCGGGGGTGGGGGG